TCATTCTGGTGGATTCTAGATGAATGCTTAGGAAATCCTGCTTGGGCAGTCAGCTCGTTGTTCCGTATTAGTGGATTTCATACGAGCAGTAAAGTTGGGCGAGTAAAATCGATCCAAGTGTGATTTACTTCACGGTGCTAGACGTGGCATTTGTAGCCCAACTGATAGACTATTGGCTTCGCGTTAAGGCTTTCCCACTATGCGGGTTCAAATCCCGCCGAATGCCGCGAGTTTTTTCACGATTGGGTCAACTAAATTTAACAAATCCGTCAAACCTCCTAAATAAGATGTTTCTTTGATAGGCCGTCACATTTTCTTCCGGTTGATAGCGATTTGAGGCCTTTCGTCTAGTTGATGTGTCCATTCCCTACATCGTTTACATCTGCACCCCTAGCCAATACGTTTGGCCTACAGTAATTCACAAATAGACTTTGTGTTAGCGTTCTCGCCGCCCTTTTTGTACTCTCTTTCTCTGCCCAGGGCGCTTTTACACGTTACCGGAATTACTGCAATCGCAGTACCATTTCTACGGCCCAATCATTCAGGGCGGTTAAATTGACCAGACTCAAGTGGTCAACGGTTGCTACTTACTGGCCAGCAGCCTAGGAAAAAACAGGCTCGTGTCATTTCACTACCATCACCACAAGACCAGGGAATTTCAACAAATTTTCGTATTACATCATTCAGTGGTCTTAATATAAGAAAGAGTGACAATATTGATGACCTGCGTAGACAATATCCATTTTCACTCAACCGTCTAGTGATGAAAGCCACATGAAGGCGTTTTACGCTTTCTTCTTCTTCGACATTTTTGTCTTGGACAGTTATTAAGGGACTACACTCTAGTCGATTGCATTACGGCACTTATTCGCCTAGCTCCGTCAACAGCCACCTGACGGCTAGCATATATTATAGGCAGAAGGACATTACCGAAAAAGACACGGGAGACTAGGATGGCCATTTCTGGCTTATTAGCCGTCGTCAGCCAGCCGTACCCAACCCCAGGGGCTGGCGAACCCCAGAGACTCGACCGATGCTCTGACCCACTGTCTCGTGATCTTCTCTGTGATGGTCGGGTACCGAGGCGCTCAAGAATCATGTATTTTCCCGCGTGGTGGACCAATTCGTGGTTGTTAGTCCCTCGTACTCCTCCGACCACTGAGGTCTCACAAGCTGTGCTTGCATCTTTTTAGAATTTTTCATTGGCATGGAGGATATTCTGAAGGACATGGCACACCCCAACGTCTGTGACATAAAAGTTGGCCGACTGAGCTACCTACCCGGCGACTCAGAGGACAAAATTGTCAGAGAAAAGGCTAAGTACCTGTGGCGTGACAAACTCGGCTTCTTCATCACTGGGATGAAAGTGAGGATTGTGCTTTCTTATTCTTCTGCCTTTTTTCATTTCATCTCGAATTAATCCACAGCATTTGTCAGGGATGCCCATTTTTGACACTGGAAATGGAAGTGGAAGTTTGCATGATGGGTTGTGAAACCAGTTAAGCGTTTTTTTCCATCTCGCTTGGTGATACTGTGTTGTGAAAATTGCCGGACGAGATTGACAAATTGTAAGTTTGTTTTGAGGTCATTCGGCAACCGATAAACTGGATGCTCATCTCGGTTAAGTTCTGGACAGTTGACTGCTGGCAGTTTGCAAGGCCCCTTTTGCGCCAAATGGTTTTGGCGA